GAAGGACAAAACAGAAACATATCTGGGAGTGTAATTTAGCTAAAGAGGGATTTCAGCAGTTTGGAGGTTGAAGTGCCGCGAGGCGGCCGCATTAATCTCTGCCGCTGCAGGACACGGCTGCTCGTGCTGCCGCTGATTTATGCTGCTGTTTGTCCCGTGTGCCAGGCTTTCATATCTGAAATGAAAGTACCTGAGCAAGATTATAATGAGTTCCTGCACAGTAACAATTCAATCCAAGATGTTCCTCCATGATGGAGGCGGTGGAGGAGGAGGAGGAGGAGGAGGAGGTGATGTCACCCTCAGATGACGACTGACTCAGGGGAAGTTTTCTTAGACAAAAGCAAAACAAAAAACCATGGAGATCTTAATTTTGGAGGAATAATCTATCGAGTGCTGCCTCTTAGCATCAACTCAGCTGCTGTTTCCACACTTTTTGTTCCATCGATTGCGTCTGGTCTTGTTGTGCCGCTCGGTCTTCAATCAATATTTTATATTTCTGAGTGAGACGTCAGCCTCGCTCAGAAAAGGCTTTGTCAGAAAAGGGAAGTCGAGCACCAGCTACAGCACCAGCTGTGGTTGTTGTTGTTGTTGTTGTTGTTGTCGTCGTTGTCCACCTGAAGGAAAGGAAGTGTGAAAGGTTATTTGTCATCACTGCAGCTCACTGCTCTGGACAAGTGGTTTTTAAAGGAGGCAACAAATCGGAATCAGGACTTTGTTGTGTTCCTTACAACCCAAACATCCCGCCTGTCAAACCAGCAAATATATATATATATATGTATGTATATATATATATTTATGTGTCTGTCTTTGATTCTTTTCCAACCTCGTCAGGAGTATTTTTCTCCCCCAGCAGGATTTGTGTCAGAGCAGCTATTAGCTAATTAGAGTCGCTGCTTTATTTTTGGCACGTCAACAAGATTGATGTTGTTTTTACAGCTGAGTCTCTTCTTCTTCTACCACAGTGTTTAAGGTTTGATTTAATTAGTTGTTGTTTGTTTTTTCTGTTTTTAGTCATTCCTCTGCAAATCGTCAGTTTAATTATTTAAGATTTTCTGCATGGATTTATTTAATCCCAGTTTATTTTTTCCACAGTTGCCGTGTGTGTGTTTTGACGTTTCTTTCTGCTGAAAAACATAATAGTTTGACGATAAAGAAGAACAAAGTGTTTTTAATGAGCTGTGGAACCGTTTTCTTTTGTGATTTTTTTTTTATCTCTTGAAGAACAAAGGGCTAAAGTCGTTCTTTCATTTTTGGATATCGCAACTTTGACGCAACAACAACCTTCAATTATTGAAAGGAGAAACAGAACGTCTTTTTAAAAAGACAGGCAGCTTTTTTAACTTAAGTAAATTATTAACTTAAAAAAAGGAAATATTTGTTTTTCTCTGAACCTTTTTTTGTTATACCTTGTTTTATTTTGGTCTAAACCTTTAGTTTTTGTGTTATACCTTGTTTTATTTTGTTTATTTCCACCATATTTCTTTTACTTCTTTTTGCCTTAATGTTTCCATATATTTTGTCAAATTCATCATTAACTCACTTTTAAATGTCATTTTTAACTTTATACTCGTCTCATTCAGTAGATTCAAATATATATTTTGATTTTTATCATCATTCTATCTTTTTTTGTCTACATACGTTGCAGTAAAATGATGTGAGAGAAACCAGTCGTCCACTCACACGTGAACCAGACTCTCCGCTCGTCCTTGTCTCTGTCACTGATCTGACTGGTCCAGACCCTCCGGGCCTCTTTGTCCGCGGACGAATCATTTCGGCGGGGGAACATCCGACTGGCCGGGCCTTCCTGTCTGTCTGTCTGTTTTTACGTCTCCCCGATCTTCCTTTACCC